CTTTAAATTTTCACTCTTTGTTTCATTGCAGCCATTTTCCAAAAATCAAAAAAGTTCATTTTATTTCTCAGTAATGTACACTCAGCACCCCATCTTGACAGAAAAAAACAGAAATGTAGAAATTTTTGCAAATTATTTAAAAAGAAAAACTGAAATATCACATGGTCATAAGTATTCAGACCCTGAGACGGGTGGGGCTAGAGCATATTTTAATCATTGGCAAATTAATTAGCTGTTGTTCAAACAATGCTCTAGTCATAAATACTAGTAAAACCATAGACTGTATATAAGAAGTGGGCGTAGTCATGGTGACGTCACCCGTTGGTTTGTGGACTGCCGTTTTGAAGCCTCGAGTTTGGTCGATAGGGCGCTGCCATATTGTTTTTTTGCAACCAGCGACACCGGACGTGACCATATTGGGACGAGACGGTGGAGCTAACGGACGTGTTTGGAGCTAGCTAGCTTGCTTAGCTAGGTGCATCTGTAATTCACGTTAATTGTCATTTTAACAGGGCTGATAATTTTGTTTAGCAAACAACAGTCTTAAAACTAAACTTACTCACCAGAGAAAGTGAACAGCCGGCTCCTAATGAGCTTTTTCAACGGCACTGGTTAAATTTACACAGTGCCGAGGGTACGAGTCACTCTAGCCTGACTGACAGGTCACCGTGGTAACGACTTGTCAATCATAGATAATCCCGCCCTGAAGCCTGCTCTGCTTTCTGGTCTCTGTTCCTCTGTGGGGACCATAATTTACTAAATGAACATCATGCTGTGTTGAAGAAGACTTGAAACTAGCGACTGAGACCATAAACTCATCAGGAAAGTGTTTACTGAGGGAATAAATCAGCTGAGAAGTCGGGTCATTTTAAATTTATTTCTAATGGAGCCGGACTTCTTTTTGCAACCAGAAGAGTCGCCCCCGCTGGCCGATAGAATGCAGGTTTAAGGGACTTCCGCGTTGGCATCTGTTTGCTGACCGGAAGCTTCCCGCTTGAGTAAAACTAAGGAGTTGGTAATCTGCAGTAATAACATCCCACTTAGCCTAAACACAGTAAACACTAATGACCGTCCTTTTGACTTTGTGGAGGACTTTAAATACCTACTTGATAACGAATTTACAGCAAACTCTGACTATATCTATAGAAAGGCTATAAACGTACTTATTTGTTGAGAAAGTTGAACAGCTTCTCTGTGAGCTTAGATACCCTAGAGTTGGTCTACAGAAATCTCATGGAGAGTGTTCTCACGTATCAACGTATCAACATGGTAAATCTTGGGGCTAAGAATGGGTCCAAATTGACTAGGATTGTGAATGCGGCTGGGAAAATCATACGAAAAACCACAGAGACAGCTGAGTGAGATTTACGCGCTCCACTGCAGTCAGAAAGCACAACGAATTGTGGGGGATCCTTCACATCCCCTGTTTGCTGAATTTGACAAGCTCCACTCAGGAAGGCGTTACAGGTTACCCAGGGCAACAACAATAAACCTTTTTAAAAATGATTTTATCCCTCGCGCAATGGCTTTGATACATTCATAAGAGATAATCGGGGTGGTGATGGCGCATACTGTAGATAAGATGCTTGCCTTTGGTGTGGGAGACCTGGGTTCGATTCCCACTGTGAGACATCCACCATTGTGTCCCTGAGCAAGACACTTAAGCCCTAGTTGCTCCAGAGGCGTGCGACCTCTGACATGTATAGCAATTGTAAGTCGCTAAAAGCGTCAGATAAATGTAATGTATTTAAATGGATTAGTCATATGTGTATGTGATGTTTTTAATGAACCTGGTGAAGCCAAAGACAAGTTTCCAGAAATGGATAATAAAGTTTTATCTTTATCTCTTTCTTTTTGTCAGTGTAATCCGCCCCACTCCGTCTCCGGTACCGGTTGTGTCGCCATACGACCGACACCGACAGAAAAGAAAGGTCAGGTCGCAAACACAGCCGCAGCTGTTGTGTGAAGAGTAATTTTAGCAAAATGGCTATATATGTTAATAAAATTAATAATAATTATTATAATAAGACATAATTTCCCAGTCGGCCCCAGGCCTACATGCTTGCAGCTATTAATGATTATATAATTATATAATAATGATGTCTGTCCCCCTCCTCCCCATCACAGGAAAAAACAAACTGAGCTCCCCTGAAAGCTATGAACAGTTCGCACACTGATGTGGTTATAAGATTTTTGTTAAAACACTATGAACTTGAAGCGGCATATCAAGGCTAACCACCTGGGAATTGAGGTACTTTAATGTCTCCTTTGCAATAAAAGTGAGAACAAAGCTGACATTGGAATCATATCTCTATTTTGGTTCGAGCAGATTGACCAAAACGCTAATCAAAACTATACTAATGAATTAGAAAAGACTAAAATGATAGTTAGTGACGAAAACTAGACTAAAATACCCAGACTTTTAGTCAAAAAAAATATAAATAAATATGACCAACAAGGACATTTGACACAGGACTAAGACTAAATTTTAAAAAGGCTTATGAACACCATGATAAACTGCGAAGTGCAGTGTGCTCTGAATGAAGACATTGATCTCACTCTTTCTTGGTGTGTTTGGTTCAGAGTGTCTGTCGGCTGGCGGAGAGAGGGATTCTGGGACATCAGGGATCACTGTAGCGGCCTGCAGTGGCTCTGTGAGAAATAAAGCGGATGACGGTTAACATGCGTTCGTCTTTAGTGTAAAACATTTATTTTTTTTTTTAAAGATGCCGTGACCTACCAGGAGCAAAGCTGTTCTGGGCCTCCTGGAAGACAAACAACAGATCAGTAAAAAAGCAACTTAACGGAAGCACAAAATACAGCTCTGTCTGTGTGTGTGTGTGTGTGTTTGCCTTGATGATGTCCTCTGGACGTTTCTCCACAGCCTTCAGTCTGTTGAGGATGAAGCTCTCATTGGTGGAGATCATAGACTCCTCCCTCTCCAGAGACTCCACCTCCCTCTCTATCCTGATGAGTCAGAGAGACAGCGCAGGTGAGCAACAGGTCAAAGTAGTCACGTTGGTGTGCGTGTGTCTGTCTGTGTGTGTGTTGTGTACCTGTGGATGTTGAGCTGCAGAGCTCTGGCCTGCTGCTGGTCAGACAGAAGGCTCTGCCGCTGAGGGGCATTGTGGGAAGCTGAGTCCTGTAGCAGCCACTGCTCTCTCAGGGCTTTTTTCTGATGATTTCACAGGACAGGGGGTCAGTAATGTCGGTCAAAGGAGACATATTACGCTGCATGGGCTCCGTCAGCACAGGAAACAGTATTGATTAGTTCAGGACTCTCAACTGTGGGTCTCTCTGGGTTTGAGTCGTTCATTTGTCACGTGACATCTCGCCTACTGTGGAGCAGGAATGAACGACTCGTTCACCGCTCACATGGGTCCCCCTCAGTCTTTCGTTCACTCGGCGGGCTGAGTTACTGCCGGCGCCGGAGAATGAGAGGCAGCTCGGCTGTCAGGTAACAGTCACTGGACTGACATATATATATATTTTGTTACAGCGCAGTGATGTTGTGCTATAGTTTTAGCACCGTACCGTAACTTTGCTAGTGTTTACAGCTAACAGCTGATGAGAGTTGTTCTGGGTCCGCTTCAGAGCCCTGACAGGGTTCTACCGGGAGCTGAATTACCTCAGAGGCCGTCTCCTCTCCAAAACAAACGGACCGGGTCATTAAAACATTAAAACACAGCCACATAGCAACGCTAGCGTTAGCCCTGTGCTGTGTTTACAGCTAACAGCTGATCCGGGTCCGGCCAGGGAACGCAACGTAACTTTAACTTTTTATTTACCAACAGAGCCGAGCTGTTGTTTCACAGCTCCTGACTGGTGAACAACCTGCAGTGTTTGTTTCTCTGTCTGCAGAATCTGGACCTGATGTGGCCCATTCTGCATCCAGACCTGCCAAACTGCTGCATTTATATAATGTGTTTATTTCTTTGTTCCTCTCTCTGCGCTGGAGTTCTTTTAAGAACTTGATGGCTTGATCCGGATTATTATTAAATTGGTTGAATTTTAATTATAATTATATATTTTTTAATTATAGTAATATAATTATATATTTTTGAACTTTGAATCATGCAAAGCTGCCACAGGAGTGACAGAACTACAATATAGGACCGGAAATGCAGTTAAATGTAGTAAAATGCAGTCTCCTTTAAGGTTCAGGTTTACACCTGCAGCTGTCATTTCCTCGCTGTTCACCTCATTCTCATTCTAAACTCTAACATCAGTCGACACACTCAAGACCCCGCTACAGGGTTTCCCAGTGCATTGAACTATGACGCTAAGGGGCTCCTGAGTGCTTTACAAACTGACGGGGGTTGGCTCAGTTTGGTCAAATAGTTAATGATGACCAGAGCATTGTAGACTGACAGATGGACAGAGTGATTATTCATGCTAATTAGAGATAATTCCCACCCATCCAACAGTTTACCATATACCTCATAAGATGTTGCTGCTGATCATTTATAGATTTATTGAGACAATGTTTAATTGTGAACGAGTGGTGCCAACCTTTAGATGCTGCACTCTGAGTTTCTCTTGGTCCAGTTCCAGTTTCTTCTGCCTGATGTCTTCCTGAATGCGATGCTTCTCCTGTTAAAAGTTCAATTAGCGAAGCTAAGGTTACAGGTATGTACGGCTACACAACGCCAACACTAGTGTTTTGTTTGCACAGATATTGAGAGGAGCAGAGTAAAACATTACGGTGATGGCCTGTAGCCTCTCTTTCAACAGGTCAGACTCCTCCATTCTGCTCCAGGGCAGACACTGAGGGGACAGAGAGAAACCTGTCAGACACCTTTTATTACTGCACTGAACCACAAGATTAACCAATCAAACACAAACCCCCAGGCAGACTACTGCAACAATGATGACAGCTTGCACAACACAAAGCAGTAGGGGTAAACCGGGGCGAAAGTAACACGGGACGAAAGTAACAAGGCGATTTTCTCAGAGTCCTGACTGCATTTGCAGTCCAAGCTGCGACAGCAGCTTCAGCACGCAACCCTTGATGGAGCTGCCAAATATCGAGCGATTTCGTCATCGTTTCCTGAAAACTGTTTTCGAGCACGGTAAGTAAATTTCTAAAGCGGGACTGTTTTTTGAATTACAAGTTGTGTCTCTTGTTTCATGTGTCAGTAAGGATTAACCTACAGGTTATTTAGTGCTTTAACGCACCCTAAAGTTTGCCCTGTCAGAGTTTTTCAGTGTAAAAATAAATACAGCTCACTCACACTGTTCTTACAATAACAATTTTAAAGTCATTACAAAATGTGAAATCTTTTGTTTTCTCTAAATAGCTTTTTCGTTTTTACCTTATTTTTATTTACATTTAATTCATATCTTTCTATTATGTTTAATTTTCCACCGTCTCTGAAGCTGCTGTAACATGCAAATATCCCCAGAGCAGGATCAGTAAAGTGTCTTATTTTATGTTAATCATGTCAAGTTCATGAACAATCTCCCTCTAACAATGTTTTTTTTTACTGTTTTAGGTGCGCAAATTTGCATAGCATATTGTTGAAGAAATGTTTTAAAAAATGGATTGACATTGCCAATAAAAAACATTTTGAACAAGTATACGGTTGCGTTACTTTTGAAACATTTGATGAAACTGTAAATAAATAATAAATAAAATGAAAATGTAATTTATACATTTGTTGCAAAGGTAAAGGACAAAATACATTTGCAGTTACATATTTACAAAGTCATAGTCACGTATTTTTCGACCTAACTGATGGGGTCGAAAGTAACAATGTGCCACTTCAGTTCAAAGTGGAATTATACTGAAGTCGTCCTACATTTGTACAAAACACCACCTGGTACTGATAGACCACACTTGTGAGTCGAAAACTTAATCATTTAAAATGAGGTTTTTCTGAAAAATGGTACTTTCGCTCCTGCTCTCCCCTACATATTGACCCAGCTGATGCGACACCAGCGTAAGCAGCGAACCCCCCGCTCGCACTGTGAATTGCAGTGAGTTTATGAACAAGTGGTAGTGTAACTGGTAGAGTTTTGCAATATAAACATGACTAAAAAAAACCTCCTGATTTACAAGCCTCTCCTTTAACCACAGCTGCTCTGAGTGTGTGCAGACTGGCTGTCTGCCACATACATACTGGGCTCTCGACATGTTTAAATCGGCTGGGGGAGTGTTGATGTTCACAGCGTATACCGTGTAATGGCCTTCTTGTTGTTGTTTTAAATATTGGTTCAGCAGCCTGTCATTTAAAAATAACAGCTCCCAGCAAATACAAAAAAAACGTTTTAAAAAACTATTTATATATAATAAAACGTATGATGTCTTCCATTCTTTAGATCCCACAGTGTTTCTGATGTGTATTACTAAGCCTGGGTATTAAACTTTCATACTTCTTGTGCACCAGCTGAATTAAAGAGCACTATGGTGGTGATGGCGCAGCGGCTCAGTGGCAGCAGTGAGCTGCTGACATACGAAACCACCTTGGGTCAGACGATCTGACGCCTTATCTCTGCACCCAAACTTTATGGAGGTGCAAGTACGGCTGGGCAATATGGCCAAAACTGTTACCCCGAAAACATTTCATGTCATTTATTTCTTTCATGTTTAAAGGCTGATTTTTGCTCCTGAGTTGAAGAAACCAGATGGTTAATTGTGGGTTTCTAAACTTTTCTTTCTGGTCAGAACAAACACTTGATGCCAAACAGTGGATCACTTCACAAATCTGAGGCAGAACTAATATGCTATTTTTTCAACAAATATGCATGAGTAAAATTAAGTAACATCTTTTTTTCAGTCCCTTTTCCTCAACAAAATAAAAATCTTAATAGAAAAATTAACTGATGTGATGTGAATTAATTAAATCAAACATTTATTAAACATTTGTTATATTGTCATTAAGGAAAATTATATTGAGACAATTATCATTATTGTTTAATGGGTGCAATACCAAATTCCCCTTTTAGAATTTTTTTGGGGGGGAGGGGCATTTTATGTCTGCGTTAAGAGGCAGTAGCGAGATAACAGGAAATGAAGGGACCAAGACAACAAAGGTACTCAGCAACACTGGAACTCGGGACACAACCAAACCAAAACTTTAACAAAAGTGTTGTTCATTTGTGATTAGTAACGGGTTTGGAGGCCACAGATAAATGGTGCTGTCTTGCTAACTGGACAGTCAGATCAGAAAACGCTTTGGAGAACTTGTTGATCTATTAAACACATTAGAAAATACTAGAGATCCACGATAATTAACGATCCAATGAAATATCAACCGATATTTCATTATCGGAAAATTAAATTTTAGCCAATAATTTAGCCGATAAGAATCAAACAATGCAGTTGTCGTGCTCATTACATCATATTGCTGCACCTGGATGGAGCCACACAGGCGCCGTGCAGGCAGCGAGAGCCAAACAAACATTTCAGAGTTTTTTTTCACAGTTTCGGAGGAAGTGAGCTCTATTGCAATGTGCAGTTTGTTTTCTGCAAGGGTTCGGAGAGGAAGGAAATGTCCTGCGAGTTTTAACACAACCAATCTTATAAGTCACCTGAAAGTTCATCATTCCAACGAAGATGTGCTAAAATTAGCCCAGAGTGTGGTAGTAGGCTATTATTATTATTACACAAGCATTTGAAAACTGCAGGACGTTTACCAAAGACAGCCCAAAAGCTAAAGTAATTAACAACAAAGTCACAGAATTCAGAGTACTTAATGAGCAGCCCATTTCCAACTATTTATGGACTTCTGATGTTAGCCCAGTGAGTTGCTTTGTTTGACAGCTCAGTGGCTGGATGACGACTTTAACATGAAAAGGACATTACTGGAGTATATATAATTATAAATCTTGCAGCACACGTCATCTTAGCCCTTCTAGTCATCAGTGTGTAAATGACTTATTTTCATTTACAAAAATCTGAAGAAATTATCTGTCATCTGATCGGAATCGGCCAAGAGAAGAAGGCAGTTATCAGTTATCTGATCGATTCCCTGATTGTCTTTCTGTTGTTCCCGATGTATATAAAGACTCAGTGTTTTCACCCCACCAATCCATTCACTCTCATCTGTTGCCACCACACAAATCATTCATAATACTGGCCATGAGGTAACCCCCTCGAGGTATTATAGAAACATATAATACTTGATAACCAAATTGGAGGGAACCTTGTAACCAAGTGCACCCTCCTCGTGCTGAGAGCGAGTCTGATTTCTCATTTTAGTACGACTTTTTTGTTGTTTCTGTTGTTTTGTCAGAGTCAACACGGATATGTGGGAGAAATTCTGAATGAGCAGAAAACCTGCTGAAACACAGGAGCTAATGAAGTCCAGGAGTTTCTGACTGAATTAAAATAAATCCATTTATCAAGAGGTTATTTCCCCAAACAAAGACACAAAGAGGAGGGAAGACTAAATCATGTGTGCTGACTCAGCAGGGATCTTATTAAATGAGAAAAGTTGATCTACTGGAGAAACATATTTAAAAGCAACTCAGGATGCCTGAGAACCTTCCTTTGAATTTCCCTTTAGATTAAGAAAGACATTTCCACCACAAATTGATGCAGAAAAGGCAGAAATCGGTGCACTGTAAGACCCCCCACTTAATAACTGTGACCTCCAGTGTTCAAAGAAAACCTATGCTCTTACATTTCTACAAAAAATATACCCCATAAATTCACTACAGTGAAAGAATACAGTGTCCGTTTGACACACTTTCTGGCCAATATAAAATCTCACCTATAGGGCTCCAACACTGTCAGGGCCGGCCCTGCTCGTTGGATTAAATTCCCAGCTCGGAGAGTCAGCTGTATGAATATAGCCCAGGAAGATGTGTTAAAATAGATACGGGTCAGGAGAAGAGTGTCTACTTCTATTTCCAGGTCACCATTTGGCTGCCGGAGTTCAAACCAACCTGGGTGGCTGGTGTAAGGCACATCTTCTTCTCTACTACAATCTATTTGATCAGATTTTACATCAAAGTTTAATTATCCAGGTATTTTTCACCAGCGCCCCCTAATAAATACGGCAGTAAGGTCAGCAGTATACCCCATAGCTTAACAAACAGTATCCTCACATGTTATTGACCCACTGCCTCAGGTCAGCCGGGAGAAAAGGGTCTCGGATTAACTTTGTTCTAAGTCATCTTAATAAACCAGTCCATCCACATTGAAGGGGGGAGTCCGTGTTATTCTGCCCTACCTCCTTCAAACAAGGCACCGGCCTGTCAGCCTGAGGCGGGGGGTTAATCTGACCCACCTCCAGTCACACAGACTGTCAGTCAGGCAGACCTCCCAGACGAAAGGAAAACAAATGCTGCCAACCAGCCTGTCAGTAATCAGTTAGGATGACTGACGTTTTTTTCTTTCTCCTACAAAATAAAAGCTGAGTACAGTTTATATCGGCCTGTCAGTCAGTGCACTGAGCTAATCTGCTCATGAGGCAGTTAATCTGGGTAAACCATCTGCTTGCCAGCTATGGACAGTCAGAGCGACCATGTGGGCTGATTGGTAATGACTACCATGTGCTCAGCACCTGACTATCTGCACATTCACCCAGTATTTTCTTTCCCAAGTGGTTTCAAAGAAACTTTATGTCAGTTGCATGATGTTTTCATTTTACAGAGTTTCCAGGAAAAATTAAATATCTTACATAGCAGGGGGTGCGAGCGGCAGCGGTGGTGGCGATTTTGGATTTAGGGCCTATTGAAATGAGTCAAATTATGAATGTTAATTCAGGAAAAAAAGGAACATTACTTTAGTGGCACCTGCAAAATATCAATTTAGGGCTTCGAAACAGTGAATTCCTTAAGTAATACAGAGGGTTTCCAAGAAACCTAATCCAAAACAAGTCCTTCAGCTGACCATCAAACTTGGAGATAATACTTTTCACCGGACAGCGATTCAGGACACAAACCAGTGTCAAGTCTAGGGCTGCAAATAAATGATCATTTTCACTATTAATAAATCTGTCGATCATAATCAAATCATCTCGATTAATCAATTAGTTTTTTTGGGTCTATAAAATTTTTGAAAATTGTTTAAAATGGCGAAGGTGACGTCCTCAGATGTCTTGTTTTGTCCACAACCCCAAAATATTCAGTTTACTGTCACAGAGGAGGAAAGAAACCAGAAAATATTCACATTGGAGAAGATGAAATTAGAGAATTCTCTTCAGAACCATTAATCGATCAGCAAAATAATCGGGATTAATCATTGCAGCTGTGGTCAAGTTAGGTCAGGACAGCTGGAAACTGTGCTACAGGAACATTTAGTATTTTCTTTGATGTTTTAGAATGAATGCACAAGCTCAGACAAAAAGTAACGTGGATTTCAATTTATTACTGCAAAAGAAGGGAGTAAATTTACAAATGTCTCAAAATAAGTATTTAAGAGTGAGTTGTTAGGTCAGCGTGCCTCTCCTTTGTTGCTGGAGCATGCAGTGCGCACACACCAGGCTCAAAGCCCTGCTGGGAGAAACTGAAGCTTAAACAGAATTAAGGAATTATCTCTACCTCTCCCCGTTTGTCTTCCTGTGTCGCTCTTTCTCTCTTGAAAGCTAAAATATTAGCCGGTGTACTTTTACTATATTGAGCCTTTTTAAAATTTACAAGATTTACATATTTTAAATATGCCATCACTGTCTGCTTAACTTCAGTACACTAAGTTAGAAAGGAAAACACTTTGTCAACGGAAATATCTCTCTACTAACTGTCTAGTTATCTCTAATAGTAGATATTTGGAGAACTGTACAACAGTGTTTTGATGCATGTTGAGTCATTTCAGTAGTTGTTGGTAAATTAACATACATATTACTATATTTTACAGAACACGTCCTCCTTTACACCCATTACTACAAAAAATTTAAAACGTGCAGAAAATGGTTACTATCTTACCTGGTGACGGTGCGCTCCTCTGTCAGTGCCGGACTGCTGCTGTGCGTCCCGCGGGGAAGCTCGAGACCACCCGGCTGCAGGTGTAGGTGGGCGGGGCTATGTGCGTGTGTTACAGCCGATTGACAGTTGGCTGTCCTACTGTCAGCCAATAGCAATGATATACACTTGTGTTGCCATGGGAAAAGGCTGCTGGTTTGCTACCACTGCACTATTTCAAAACTCTTCTCACAGTCTGCATTACCAACATGCATCCTGTCCAGTTAATCTCACCTCCAAAAATGTACTCAAGCCACGATAACACTTCATAGCCTACATGTCTCAGAATAAACTCATTCAACCAAACACTGGCAACAATTATCACTCAGAAAGCAAACACTGTCACTCTTAACACACTGACCTTAAAAAACACTAACAACAGGGAGCATTATACATAAATTATGAACTTTTATCTTTGAAGTTTGAATGATTTCTTACATAAATCAGTATTTAATTATAACACATGTAGGCATGATATTTAATTTTGTTTGGATGTATTTTATATTAGTATTTTGGACACTGGGTGGCAGTGATTAGATGCACACGGTTGTATATCAACTTCAATAATCTCTGGAAAATCTTGTGTGTCTGCGTAAAAACTTAACTCCTACCTGTGTATGATGGCAAAGCTAAGGAAACTGGAAATAAGGCTAGAGGTACAGCAAAGCAAAGATTGCCATTATAATATGTATAACATATTTTCACATTATTGACTGGACTAAAGTATATGTAACAAGAATAAATCAGAAACGCAGCACTTTGTTTCAACATCTTAAAGTACTTTTCTGTATCACTGCAGTTAAAACAAAAAAACAAATCCCTGAAATTTCAGTGCTGCAAAAACCACTTTAAACACAATGACCACAGCACCAACCCCCTGAAACATTTCTGCTTAAGTGCAGTTCCTGCTTTCTAAGCCAAACTTTTTTCAAAACACTACACACAGTTCTCAAGGCACATAAACAAAAAATTTATGTTAATGTTCTGCTAATATTTTCTACATCTTTCAGTCCAGTTACTGAGAAATGCAGGACATTGGCCATCATTCTGTTTTGCATGTGTTTTTAACAGTTTTGGTCACAGTGTGTTCGCATTTCATAAAAATATGCTGCAGATATAAAGAAAAGAGTTCATGGATTTTGAAGAAAGTGGTCATTGAAAGCAATGAAAAATGATTCACAGTTTGGGCCACATACACTTCTGTTTCTCTGACTGTGTGAAGAGTTTTGACCAAGGCATGTTAGCAACTGAAAAAAAACTCTAAATCCTCAGTTGAACTGGAAGCCATAAAAAAACGCCACAAAAACAAACGTTGGGTTGTTTAACTCATTTTACTTTAAAACCAGTTATGGGTAAGTTAAAGGTAAACACTGACAGCGAGAGAATTAACTAAAGCTTTCAGATAAATGTAGTGGAGTACAAGGTTTCCTCATGAATTGTGGATTATAGCATTGAAGTACAAGTATCACAAAGTGAAAATTACTTTCCACCACTGACAGCTAATAATACTTCATTGGTTTTAAGTTGGATGTGAAGTCAATTGTTGTATCGGAAGTGTTCTGGGACTTTAAATGTACAGAAACATCTTTAAAACGTATAGAAACATCTGATGTTCTCACTGAAAACTGCATGTATTGAAATTTAAATTAGTGGTCACATTCTTCCTCTCGGTCCTCCTTCTGCTCATCAGGGAATGGGGTTAATGTAATGTGATGTAAAGAGCTTTGAGTGGTCGGAAAAACTAGAAAGGCGCTTTACAAATACAGACCATTTACTTTCCTACTTTCCACAAAAACTCAAACACACACACAAATTTATCTCAGGTATGCAAATTAATGAAACACCTTGAAAGACCATGTATCGGGTTTATATATCATATACAGTTTAAAGACATAAAATAAATGTCAGTATGAATTTGAGCAGAATTCAGTCAAACATGACAGCTACATGGCAACTTGAGTCAAGGTCTTCTAAATAAACAGTAGAGCCCGACCGATAAATCAACATACCGATATTATCGGCCGATATGAGCTAATTGCAGATAAATCTGTTGCTGTATTAAGAACAGCCGATAAATGACATTTAAAAAAGAAACGGATCCTTCAATCATGTTATGAGAGTTGTCGTTGCATCGTTGATCCACCGGAGGGCGCTCTGCAACACACGTACTGAGATCAGCTGTACCTCAAAGTACCTTCAAAGTGCTATTTATAACATTATCGAAAGTTCAGGCCATGTCATGTTGGAGAGGTCTCATAAGTACACATAATAAATGTTAGAGAGAATCTTTGGTTACGTTATGTGTTTCTGAAAAGAAGGGAAAAAAGAACATCAGCCGATATATCAGATTTAAAAATTCTCAAATATCAAATTTGGTATCGGTCTTAAAAATCCGGTCAGGCTCTAATAATTATATTACATAAGCACACACACAACGCTACAGCTAATTTAGAAGAGACAAATATATTGTGATATACACAGTAAGTATATCAAACTACTTACAGAATTAAACAAGTAAACTGGCCCTCTCAGGAACAAAACGCATCGTACAACCTGATATATCCAGGTTTCATGATAACTGTGATCCGTAGTGTCCGAGATTTACATTTTTTGGACACACGTTAGAATATGGGAAAGAACAAAACTAGATAATATAAAAAAGAAATAATGTCTTTGCTGGCCTGTGAGTTTGAAGTAATAAAACACTGTACTTTCAAACATGAAACATATACAACAGTAATAGATTATACCTGAACAGGATCACAACAACACATCTATGTTTTAGGATGTCTTTAAGTAATCAGGTAATAAGGGTGTATCCTAACTATTGATATTTATATTTATTCATTTAGCTCAGGATTTATCCAAAGC